AACAATTATCAAGATTTATAAAAACACAGAAAGTTATACTTTCAATAATATAATTAAAATTTTATAAAATATATAAATTTATATTTGTTATTCAAGAACAATATTCTCAATGAGTTTATCAAAAATATATTATATAATATTTATTATAGTAAATTTTAATGTTGCATAGTTTAAACAATAAATTATTTTTTAATAATAAAAATCTTTGATAATAAAAATTATTATAAATTTGGATTTAATATAATAGTTATATAATTAATATTATTTTATTTATGTTATTCTTCTATAACTTTAATAAAAATATTTTTGTAATACATTTTATTACAGTAAACATAAATTTTAGTTTTAATTTATAAAATAAAATAAGAATTTATAAAGTTACAGTATTGAAGTTCAACTTAATGCACAATGTAAATAACTTTACTTGTTAGACAATATTTTTATTTTAATATAACAATTTAAACATACAAACTTTATTTTTTATATAATCTAACTTTACTTAACACTTATAGTTTTAAATTTAAAATGTTTTTTAACTAAATATTTTAAAAAACATAATTTGTAATAATGTTAGTTTAATTTAATTGGTGTTATCGCAGGGATATGAAGAGAACTGTTACGGATTGTAGTGTTGAGAGGAATGGTAGGAATCGTACCATTTGTTGAGTTTCTACCGATAATGACAATATGAGTGCCATTGAGATGTCGTCCACCAAATGGGAACCATTGGCCGATTTGGCCGAACACGCGCTCAAAGAATCGCTGCGCTTCTCCTATAATACTGGAAACCCTTTCCTCAAATGTTTGGCCACTGGACAGCCCGACCACCAGTAATACGACACATAATTTAATAATCATTTCCATTATGTTATACTCTTTACAATTTCTGTTTTCAATATTAAATATTTTGTAGGTTTTTCAATAAAATGAAATTTTTTTAAAGTTATAGTATTAGTTAACGTAATGCAAACACTTGTATCTGTAATTTGCGTCAATTGGATCTGTATAAATAATTTAATGAATCATCAGATTAGAGATCAATCATTCATTTTGCACATTTTTATATGATTATATTTTTATGTTAAGAATTTTATCAAAAACCTATATTTTTATTAATTATAATAATTACTTTATTAAATTTCTACAACATTATAGTACATACTGTATTAAAACAAATTAGAAATTATATAATTTTATAATTTTAATTATGTAAGTAATCTTACCCTTATAATATTTTTTGAAATAACTTTATGTTACACATACACTAAATGCCATGTACTCTCTTCTATTCTATATGCCATAAATTATAAGTAATAATACACAGTATATTATACACTAATACTCTAAACCATTAATAAAGAATTTCAAAATTAAAACACATTTTCAAACATTATAAATCCGAAATAATTAATCTATTTTATCTCAATAGTATTGGGGTCTCTGTATCAAGTCTATAAATGATTGTTTTTATTACATTTTTGCTTTAAAAATTGATTTCTTTACTAAATTATTTCTTTTTTATTTATAATTAGAGTTAATTCTGATTATAATAATCTGAATATGAATAAGAGTTTGATTGTAATCTTAGGCATGACATTGGCTCTAATTATTATGTCAGGTATAAGTTTACAATTTATATTTCAATTGCTTGTCATATGTTTATAATATGCATGGATTACCAGAGCATATGGTTTCATGTGGCGGCTGTCCCTTTGGCTTCGATGGCTCTGATTTGGTTGCCGGCGCTGACGAGAGGGCCGGCTCTCTGTTGAACACTATTAGAGACATGGAATCGGAATCACATGAACAGGAAGTGGAAGAAGAAGAAGACGACTGAAATTCTGGTCAATGATATGTACTATTTGTTACAATATATTCATATAATATTATATGTCATTAGTATATATCATAACAAAATAGAATATAATTCTAATTATAAAGATTAATTTAATAATATCAATGTTATCAATGTTATCAATGTTATCAATGTTATCAATGTTTTATTAATCACAAATTATTAAAATATTTTAGAATTTATAATAGTATTATTAGTAATAATTTTGTAAAATAAATATTTTTATAATATAAGTACAATATTTTTAATTATAAAATATATAATAAAGTGGTAAATTAAAATTTTACAAAAAACTACTCTAAAACATATTTTTATTGTTTTAATAAATAATATTTGTGTAGATTATATTGACTTATTAAATTATAATTGACTGACACACCCAGGGAGGTCGCCATAAATATTTTTGAATTGCGTGTACAGAATAAGGAAATACTGACTGGATTATATGAGCCTTAAAGAACCAAATAGGCG